CCCGCTCTTGAGCCGCTTTGTAAGCGTGCATGCGGTAGTTGAACTTAGTTGAAGTACGTAAGTGGGTTGGGCCAATCAGTCACCTGACACACGGTGGTCCACAGACCCCTTCCTTTATTTTGCTTATACTGTACCGGATGCAGGCGTGCGGCCGGGTTGCATACTCGCACGGGTCCATGCGGCGCAACGGCGAGCTAGGGTAGGCAAGCCCGTCCGCACGCCTGCATGCGGTACAGTATAAGCAAAATGAAGGAAGAGGTATGTGGACCACCCTGTATACGTTCTTCTTTCAAGCATATGACTTGTTGTTAAATTTTACGAACAAACATTCTACCAAAGGGTTCTCCTGCCCCAAAATCGGTTTTAAATAAGTAGCCTACACCAATTTGCCCTACATGAAAATCATCTAACAAGTAAGAATCTTTGCATTCACTCTCAGATTCCGCAAAACTCCTGCAGTCTCACAGTGTACCATCACATATTACTACTCATAAAGTTGTCCAATCGATGAACAAAAGGTTTCCCCGACCGGCAGCGACGTCCTCTCACTGCACTTTGTCTCCCCCAAACTTGGATTCACATATCTTCAGAAACGGATTGGTCGGGGGTTGGAATCAAATGTCACAGCCGACCCGTTCCCCTTCGCTCTTTCCCGGTCTAACACTTGATGTGCTTGGTCTTGCGCTGGGCGACGACCTGCCGTCCTGCGTGCTGGATGGCGTGCAGCAGGACGGTGTACACCACGTTGCAGCACATGGTGGTGAGCGCCATCCCGATCAAGATGTACACGGAGCAGAACCACAGGATGACGTCCGCGTTTGGCCGGCCGATGCGTGTGGAAGTGACGCCGGCGGCTCCGCTGGTCGAGCCCACGGCCGCGCCGGGCACCAGGTTCCCAAAGCCGATGGTGGTCAGGCTCATGAAGCAGAAGAAGACGCTGTCCAGGAAGTGGAAGGCCTGCATGAGCCAGAGGGCGAGCGCGCCGCCCACCACGTACACCAACATGATGGAGCCACAGAGCAGCACGGGGGCCAGCACCGACCCGGAGAACGGACGGCGGGCCCCAGCGCGGGGCGAGCGGCCGCAGGTGTGGCCGCCCGGGTAGGACCCGCGCACGTCCACGAAGTACGCCGACTGCGACTGCAAGAGGAGAGGAGAGGACTGTGAGGACCTCGGGCAGAACAAGTACGACTACCGCCGCGAGAGAGACTCTGTCGGGGTGGCTGCCGGACTGCCCCGGAGCGCCTGCGACCTGCAGGGTAGGCCAGCCCGTCGGGCCGGGGAGGCGTGCGTGGTGGCCTACCCTACGGACCGCAGGCGCCCGCCGCTGAGCGCGCACTGACCGCGAAGAGCATCTGCTGCTGCTGCTGTTGTTGCTGCTGCTGCTGCATCTTCAGCTCCCGCTGGCGGCGCAGGCGGCGCTCTCGCTCCAGCATGCGGTCCTCATCGTAGCAGCAGTAGCCGCACTTGGAGCACAGGCAGCAGCACACGGCGCGCGTGAAGACGCCGCGCGCGCACCGCGCCAGCAGCCCGCCCACCGCCGACAGGTACAGCAGCATCAGGGGGATGCCCAGCGCGGCGTAGACCATCGTCACGCCCTTGCCCACCTGCGTGAGCGGCGTGAAGCTGCCGTAGCCTGGAAGGGATAAAGCAGCCGAATGAGCCCGGTCGTCAAGTGAGGCTGCCGGTCCCGCGGGCCCACGACGTCGTGTGTACACAGACCGATGGTCGTGATGACGGTGAGCGAGAAGAGGAAGGCCTGCGCGAAGTTCCAGCGGACAGAGTGGTGGTGGAAGGCGGGGCGGAGGCGCGGGCGGTGCAGCGTGAGGGCGGCGGGCGGCGCCTGCAGCGGGTGCGCGTGCGCCACCTCGGCGTGCCTCCGTTCGCGCCGGCTCTGCAGACAAACATCAAGAGCGTGGTTGTGTGCGTGTCCGGCGCGGAGCGTCGTGTAGGTTTGCCGCAGACCACGTACCTGGCGCGCCTCCTCAGCCAGCTGCTCCGCGACCTGGTGCTGGAAGCGCTCGATCTCCCGGCCCGCCAGTTCGGTCCAGTTGTCGCGGTAGAGGATGTTCAGGTTGACGGTGATGTCCCAGATGCGCTCGATGGTGCGGGTGCGTGAGTCCTGGATCGCCAGCTGCAGCGGTGTTAGGTGCTGTTGAGGCTCAGCGGCAAGCTGCTGGCTTCCTGGTTTTGTAAATGTATTTTAAAATGAATTAGCACAGACGAGAGGCATAATGTAATGTGACTGAAGATAACTGATGTCTAGTCCGAATCGTACCATTAGTGTTAGAGGTGGTCCCGGACACAACCGGGATGACGTGCGGGTCCCAGAGGTCCTCATTAAGGGCCAGGAACACGAAGGCGCCGAACATGAGGTACAGGACCACCAGCAGGCACACGCCCAGGTTCTGCAAAGAGCCGACGACTTTGTCACGAACAGCAGGCCAGGCACGTGCAGTGACTCAGCGTGACGCAGCGTGTAACCCGGACTCGAGCCCAAGTAGTGCAGCCCATGGCTTACCTTGAGCAGGTCGAGGGCGAAGCTGCCCGGCGTGCACCTGGGGCGCTCGTGGTCGTCGCAGCCACTGGACCTCCTGGAGGCGGTCGCGCCGTGGGGAGGCTGCTTGGCGTCGCCGCTCAGGGGCTTCTTGAGGGACACCGTCCTGACTGGCGGCGGCACCTTGCCCCCCACCGACGGGCCCCGGCTCGCGCCCACCCCTGTCTTGCAACCCCCGTTCAGGTGGGCGTGCGGCCCCGGGCCGGGCGCCGGGATGTGGGCGATCATCACGGGGGGCTCGGGGTGGG